TTTTTTTTTTTTTTTTTTTTTTTTTTTTTTTTTTTTTTTTTTTTTTTTTCATTAATTTTATTTCATTTTATTTCGTTTCATAAACGCGTCCTATTTTGATTTCTTCTCTTTTTTCTCTCTCTTTATATTACATCGGACCTTTTTCTGCCCATTTTCTTTCTTTCTATCTTTTTTTTTTTCTTTTACACGCGAGACACGCGACCTAAAATACAATGAACGATGATGAGAGAAAATATATATGTGTGTATATATATATATATATATACCTTTAGCGGCAAATGGCAAACAAAGTTTTGCGCGTATTTCTTTGAGAAGAAGAACGATTACGTGACTACCTTGTTCCCACGATTGTTCTTCCCTCAGTTGTCTTAAAACGGCGGCTGCATAAGAGAGTAGTAACCAACAATAATAATAACAACAACAACAATAACAACCTGTCTCTATATATCCTTCTTTAAGGTTTATTATTATATTTATATTACACATAATAGTAATAAGTACGTAAATCTTAAAAAATTGTCTTAAAAATATCATCGTTCAAATTATCTTTGTAATGTGTTCATTGACATTGTTTTAACGTTAATCCAAACAAACACACTCACTTAATATTAGATTTGTTTTTTTTTTAATTATTACTACGAGACAAATCACGAAAATTAATAGTTGAGATTGTCAACCGTGAATAGGGATGAAGGGGAGGGGGATTTAATTGAAAGTGTAACTTGCAGTAATAAGAAAAAAAAAAAAAGGAAAACGCAAGGTTTTATTATTGTCTTCTCTTTTCTCTTGTTTCTTATTTTTTTTTCTTCACGACGAGTCAACGTCTCGCGAATACGAATATATATACACCTCTCCCCACTCCCCCCCGTTGCACTTCCACCCACTCACGCCCCCGATCCCCGTCTCTCTTACGTATGGAAAATAAATACTTATAAGAATACGAATAACGCCGATCGAAACGCGTGGCGCGCACTGAGTAAATTATGCAAAGCGAAAGTACACCTTTATACGTAAGAAATACTGGTTGCGCAAAACGTCGTAAGAAGAATACTACAACAACAACATATAGAATCGTCGGGACGATTCTTAAAACACCGTTCGTCCAATTTAACTCTCTCGTAATTTCGTCGTCGCGTCCTGTCCTGCCTTTGTAAAAAGGAAAAAAAAAAACAGAAAACAAAAATAAGGAAACGAATACTATCTCCTTTTTTCTAATGCCCAGTTTTCAAAAACAATTAAATTAAATTTCTAAACTAAAAAAAAAAAGGCAAAGGATCGAATTCGCGAACGGGGGGGGGAAAAAAAATATGTTCGTTTAACTTAAATTTATAACTTAGAATAAATTTATATTTAACGTGTGTGTAGGACACACATTTCTTTCTTTCTCTTGTCATTTCGTGTCCAACTTTTTTTTCTTTTTTCTCTATCTTCTATCCTTTTTTTCCCCTCTTGTTCAAATTTATTATTCGTAAAAAAAAAAAACCGCCGATAAAATTCGCGTGTGAATCGGATTTTCTTTTCTGTTTATTAATTTCTTTTTTAGTTTGTTGCTTTATATATATATATATATAATATATATAAATATAATT